ATGGTTGTAACAGTTCCTGTTTTTTATTGACGGTGCTGGTTATTTCATGGACAGGTACGTACATGTGTACTTTGCCAACTTTTTATGCCCATCACTACAGCATGTGTACTGTCACAAGTGCTTGCGTGCAATAGTCTCCCTCTCTGTTTTTTGTTGGTGTTCAAAATAACTTCTCCCATACATGTACATGTATGTGCATAGTTATTTTGCATACCAACAGAAAACAGAGAGGGGGATTTGACCAGGAAATACAGGATAATCAGTTGACACAGCAGGATATAGCGCAGAGATACGTAAACGGTGGTCTTCCTTCCTCTGGTCAGGAGAGAATTTGCAAGCAAATTGTGTCTGCACTTTGCAGTGTGAAGAGTTCTATTCTGTTATTTTTTGCTTTTTAAACGTTCTACGTACGGTACACATACTGTATGTGTACACATGCCGGCTCATATGGGTACATGTACATATGCGTAAATTGATCCGAAGCTGAGCTGTATAAAGATGTACATGTACATGTTAACTGGCATTTAGGTAAATACAGGTAAGTTAGAATACACTGCAGAATGTTAACCAGCAAGGCTGTAAATATGCTGTGAAGAACATGCAGTTGATATGGTCTGCAAAGGGGAGGACTCTGTGCATAGTGTACATGTACATGTACTTGTAGTATGCACAGGGACTGTACATGTACAATATGTATGTATGTTCAGTGGTACCCATGCAGATACCAATATTGCAGTTTTGGGTTCATGCATGTTTATTGGTACCGGTACATGTGTACATGGTAAGTTTTAAATACGAGCACTGTGTTTAAAGTATTTAGTATCCCATTTACTTACATACATGTACATGTACAGTAGCGCTTTTTTCTTGCAAGTGCATATACTGTTGTTCCCTGTGGTTTGAGCATAGAGGAAGGAGGTGATCATGTGTTCGTCTTATTTTTGTTGCTTTTTTGTTCATTTGTTTGGTTTTTCTGCTCTTGTTTTCTGCTCAGGGGACTATACCAGGTTGTTTTTTGTGTGCTTATATGCATGTACCGGTACATGTACATGCACTGTACGTACATGTACATACACATGTACGTGTACATTCATGTACAATTGCAGGGGATATGTTGTTCAGCAACATGATCTACGCAATGGTATTTGGGCCAATTAAGAGCCCAAGGCAGGTTGGATTGGTTGTGCAAGTTTGCAAACACGAGCCAGAACTCAAGCAAATCATTGGCCTACACTGTATATGATAGATCACATACTCCTGTTGTGTAATGTGACTGCCCAGTGTATACATGTACGTGTACCTGTACAGAAAAAAATATACTGGAAGGTTGATACCATCAGTTAAGCAGCTGCAGAAATAATGTGATTATTGCTTAAGTGCCTGTCAGATTTGCTGTTTAATATCAGTGTCCATATTTTGAACGAAGCCAATTTAACAAAGAGGGTCCTGTAGCCTGGCCCATCGAGTACCACAGACAAAGAAGCAATAATTGGATCTCTCAAATGCTGCTGTGTGCACAGTCTGCAGTCTCACAGCCTTTCAAATTATTAGTACCGAACCTCACACATCCATGGGCAGGTAATAGCAGCCAGGTGGTGAAATTGCACTGTTGGCTTTTATCGAGGGTAAAAGTAAACGGCTTTTGTTACGGTCGTGAATGCACGTAATTAAAGTTTGATGGGTGCAAAGATGACAGTGCTCCATTTTTTAATATACTTCTGATGATTGTTCCCGTCTGTTCAATTGAAAGCCATTCGGTTGAGAGCCTACTGGGCATAGGCTTTACAGACGCCTCAGTTAGTATGGTACAGCAGAGTGTTACTTCCCAATGATCTGCCAATAAATGTACACATGTATGATACTTGGAAAGGTTGAATACACACATACATTTAGTACTGTACAAACAGCTGCATGCCCAACTTGCATGCTTGCTGTACTGGTACATGTACATGTTGGGTACTTGTTTATAAACACATGTAGAGTACTCAACAGTTGTTTAATTTTGCCATGTCTGTACTAGCTAGGGTATATGACCTCACCTTTCTTTGAGCTTTATTGAAAATTGAGGAGAGTTTAGTCCTAGGAACATGCACATAATGTATACATGCATACATGTACATGTATTTGCCTGTTAAAATGTTTTGAAGTTGCATGTACATCCATTTACCAGTACATATACATGTACTGGCAGAGTTGCTGACTTGAGTCATGTGACTTGGACTCTGAGTTGGACTCAAGTAGCTATTTTTGTGACTTGACTTGTAAATACCGGCTTTGACTTGAGTGTGACTTGACTTGGACTTGCAAAAAATGACTTGTTGCCAACCCAAGTCAGACGCCACTTGACCAGCCCCATATATATTTATAACCCGTAACTTTGTAAGTTGACGCCTGGTTCTTTTTGCTGATTACAGCTGGACAAAATAATGTGCAGCTTGATTTGTACTTGGCTTAATTGACTTGACTTGCCCTGTGACTAAATTACTTGCGACTTGACTTCTGACTGTACCTGATGCCTGACTTTTGACTTGACTTGGACTAGCAAAAATGACTTGGTGCTACCTCTGCATACCGGTACATGTACTGTAAAAATCAAGTTTCTGATCTTTTTCTCAGAATGTGAGAGAAACCTCTTTTTGAAGGCTACCCATTGTTGTCTGCCGATATTGTTAAGGTAAACTTTGGGTGAGATTGGCACAGTTAAAAGTTGTGGACACAGTTGGCACAGTTTTGGCAAAGATGTTACTTCACTGTCGCCATGGTACAATGTACTTGTAGATCTCACAGGGACATACATACATGAACACGTAAATTTATGTAGTGTTAGTGTACAGTATAACTACAGGCACATGTACGTGCACGTACATGTACTGTACATGTATCACACATGTACAACCTTCTACTCGAGGTCACGCTAAAGTACTGGCAGTACAACATGGTGGAAATGGTATTCTCAACTGGGAAAGATTAAGGTACAGTAATGTACCCTGTTGGGTACGGTACATGTGCATGCCTCGTGTACACGCATACATGTACTGTATCGTGGCCTACATGTACTTTTCATGGTACTGACCAGTGCTCTAGCTTGCTAGGAAAATGTTAGTACCGGTTAAATTTTTGGATTGCGAAGTGTAGTGAATGCAGTGAGCAGAGCTGTCACAGCTCATAGCCGGAATAGATTTACGCCCTCTATTGATACCGCTGGTCAGCTGGTCTTAAGCCAAGACTATGAACACGTGCACGCTGCCTCAGGGGAGGTTACATTACATCCCATAGTCTCACATCTAGGTCACGTAATAATGCTACATGTAGCTAGACATTGTCAGTGCTTCTGAATACTTGAAATACGATCAAATTGGTACATTTGCAGTAACATTTCATGTCATTTTTTGGAAATCCGTGCTGGGCAGCACAGCCAATTTGAACCCAAGAGCCGGGCGGAAATTTGCAGTATACACTGTACATGTAAGGGTTGCAGCCCTGTGCAGCCCACTGTGGCTAGAAGTTGTAAAACACTGCTCCTGACTGAAGTATTTGATTGTTCTCTTGAAAAAATAAAAGTTTGCACCCCTGGATGCTGCCCAGAAATTTCACCCCAGTAAGGCCACTGCCCCTTCCACCATGGGGTATCATCTTCCAAATATCAACAGGGACAGGTTGTGGGGCTGGCACATATCCCCCATTGTTTATGCACACCCTCTGTAAAACTGAAACGGGGAAGAAAATTGCAGTGACAAAATACATGGTGAAAAACATTAAACAGAAATGATTTACAAAAAGTTCTACCCGGTACATGGTACCAGCACTGTACAAGGTTGGGGGTTGTGGTCCGTTGTCGGACTAGTTAAACTTAATAAAATATTTCAGTGTCTCTGTTACCATCTCTGCAACCCGGTTTACTTTAAAATATCATGCTAATTAATTTCATAATGCCTTGAAACATTTCTGAATGACTACATTTAATTTGTCAAAAGCAATGTTAAAAGTCTTAGTGACCCTTTTATACTTCAAGTGAAAACATCCAAACGTCACAAAACATGCCTCAACTTTGTGTAATGACAACTTCATTATTTAAACTTCGGTTTTAGTTGTTGAGAATTTGTGAGTGGCGTTCCTATATAAAGTATGCAGATATATTTTTAGTACACATACGCACTGTGTAACCACTTACATGTACCTGTACATTAGCTGTGAATTTAATATGAATGCCATATTAGTATTGCTAGACTTTAGACTTCCTTTCAGCTGTTTGTTTTTCTGTGCACTGTACATGTACATTGTAGGTACACGTACACTGTACATGTGCAAAATGCAAAATAGTACAGTACAGTTTTCAGGTGTATGTATATTGTACTTTTGATACATGTATGAATATGTACGTGTACATGCCACCAAATTGAAGTAGTGAATATTTACAAATTTTGGCTGTACACGTGTGTAATCCTTTGAGTAAACAAGAAGACTTCATTTGAGTAGTAGTATTATTATATTATTATAATTCATTTCTGCTAAGGACACTGAGGATTCCTCAAAAGTGTCTATAGGCAGTTAAGCCTGAAGAAACCTGTAAAGAGGGGACAGTGAGAAGCAGTTACCTTTTTAGAGACGTACAGGGTGTGAAAGAATCACTATGCCAACCTGACTCCCCATTGCATGCAAGGAAAAAGCAACTGGCTCCATGAGATCAGTAGCTGAAACATGGCCTGTTATTTGAAATTGGCCCGCTGTCAAATGTACATGTACGGTACGTGTAAATGAAACATCACAAAATGAATTTGTCCGTACTTGCAGTAAATTTTTCTGTATGTACATCTACATGTACATGTTCCTGTGTATGTTCGTGTACATGTGCAGAATTTTTCTCTTGAGGAGTTTTTGTTCCTATTTTCTGTCTACACGTATACAGGTACCAGTACATACATGTACATGTATAGTGTACATGTAAGTAATACAGACTTTGACAGTGATAACTTTTGTGAATTGTTTTTATTTTTCTGCAGTTTTCCAGATAGGAAAGGGTGCTTCCATTTGAACTTTTGGCTGTTGGCTTCAGGAAACTGATCAGTGGCTGTGATATCACACTTCTGACACCTTATTTATCGCCCAGCTGCCACCATGGTGTTTCTGAGGGTGCGACTTCATGGAGTGGATGATATAGACCTGCCCAACAAAGACTCAAGTGAATGCAATGTTGTCATTCACATCAAAGAAAAAGTCACCACTGCACGTGAGTATGATTCACAGGTATCAAGGTTATAAGGAAGTTATAGTTCCGTATGTATGCAGGGCTCGAAATTAGGGCGCAGGTACACTTTAGCTAAAAGGCACCTGTTTGTCTCCTACATGTAAATGTGCCCCTAAATTATAAGAAAATCGTAAGTACTAATGTCCATTTGTTTCTACATTGTATTCTACCCTCATACCCTCCCTATTTTTTTTTATGTAATAAAAACTACAACTATTATTTTGTTCGTTGACATAAATTTCATTCAAATAAACACAGAAAAAATGTCTGTAATGTGTGCAAAAATCCTGACTTTTTGTTTGCCTTAGTCAACAGTCACATACAATGTACCTGTTTCTGTTATACCGACATTATGTACATGTACTTGCACTTTGCCAAACAAAGCATGAGCAAGACAAGTCAAACCTGCTGACTAAACATCACTTTATATCAGCTCTGAATAATTCAAGAGCATGTTTAAAATGTCCATTATCACTTTGGACAGAGTTGAGAAAACTATTTTTTGACTGGACTAGAAAAAATGACTTACTTGTACACCTACATTTGTACATGTACATGTATGACTTGACTTTAGGCAAACTGGCTTGAGACTTGACTTGCAGAAAAAAAAGTTGGTTAAATACAGTACATCACCGCTGTTCACGGAATTCACCTTTGTTGGATATCCACAATTACACTGAATGCTGTCTGTTCTGAAAACTACAAATACACAAAAAGAATCTGAGCGAAGAGAAGTTGCAGATTTCAGCAATATTACAGAAATTAATGTTTAATGTGCACACAAACAGGAAGTTGCAAGTGAAGGTGATTCAGCAAATTCAGAATAGGGAAAAGCAAGGTAAAATTATATTGTTTGCACCGGTTTATGGACAGGGCACGTGTGCATTGTGCATGTACTGGATATGTACCGTGACACTGCAACCTGGCTGTAATGCATCCCGAATTTGACTTCCTCCCGGCCAAGAGAGTTGCCCAGGGGAAAGGGAAAGCAAAGACCTCCAACAGTATTGATCCCTTTTGGTGAAATCTGTGCCTGTGAAATGTTCCATTGCATCCCAGGTCCATGATCAGCAAATTGTTGCCAGTGCCACGTGTTGCGATGGGCATGGTGAAGGAAGTCTAAATGCATTTTGTGCCAAATCTAATCAAATATTAGTGGGCTGGCTTGATTGAATTTTTACTTGGGCTTCCAGACATTCTCAATTCCTCAAGGAAGGCAGTACTACATGTACATTGGCACTCGGACTATAACAAACACTGTACAAAGAGTATACCGTATATTACCAGCAGTGTTGTAATGACTGAAGTCCTGGCTCGAGTCACAATTTTGGTGAATTGACTCGAGTCCCGATGGGTAAATGCCTTGACTCAAGTCTCAACCAAATGACTCGACTGGAATCTTTCATGGAGACTTGACTCAAGTACAAACTTATAAGACTCGAGTCGCAAAAAAATTAAATGCAAATTTTAGTTGGCTAGATACCGGTACCTGCACATGTACATGTACATGTACCTGTCACCTTACATGTAATTTAATTATTTTCATTGTGTACATGTAATTAAAGTAGAAATACCAATATATGACTTACATGTACATGTAGTTGTGTTTTTATTGTATTTTGTTCGAAAATTTGTTACTCAAATTGACTCAAGCTCAGTACTTAACTCGACTACACAAAGTGACTCGACATCTTGACCAAACCAAAGTAAGTGACTTGTTACAACACTGGTTAATTGTATACAGTTAGAACTGTTGGACTCCACATCTTCATGTGACCGCAACTTTTGGTTTTTGCCTCTGAGGGAAGTTACAGGTATACGTAGCAGAATGCATAAATGAATGCAAGTGTCAGCCAATGTTCTGGATCACTTTGTTTCTGGCCCCAACTGAAATAAATGGAAGCAGTTTGCCGTCGTTTATGGTCTGTGCCTCAGTCTCTGCTTCTTAAAATGTTGGTTGCTGTGACATTAAAAGTTACATTTCCAGACTGTTGGGGACACTGTTGAGTGCACATAACCACATGTACCATACTTTTTCAACTTACAGTGTACCCGGTACATGTACATGTATGTCTGTGTACATGTATATCAGTTGTATCTTGTGACATGCAGTGTACAGGTACAGGTAGTCAGGTACATGAATGTGTGGAAAGGTTGTTGTAGTACTGAATATAAAATTTGCAAGTCTGTGCATGTACATGTATGCACATATCTAAATTGGATGTTTACATGGATGACTTTTAACAGAAAGGTTTCACATAACAGATATAAATTTAATGACGCAGGCACTTCCTTGTAAAAGATAAATGACTCCTTATTTTGAACTGTGGCTGTCAGGAGCTGTTATTACAAATGGTGCCATTTCCATGCATTTGTCATCAGATGCATACACCCCTGCCCCGGCAAATGTTTCCCCATGCCCCTGTCCTGTCATGCCTGCACTTGTGACAGTCCCAGCGCTGGGTTTAAACACGTGTATTGTGGAAGTGCCTGCCTCCAGCGCTAGTTTGCTCGGCTTCGTTTGATCTGTCCAGTTGTACAAACACAATTCCCCAAAGTTTGAAGCTTCGGTAAATTTGGAGACAGCCCTGGAGAGCGTTTCATGGGGGGGGGGTGGTTCGGATACATGTAGCGCCGTCAGGAATTGCCTCGTTATATTTGCCCGTTCCCCGTGCTCCTAATTGAATTGGGAAACTGAGAGTGGCTAACTGGCATTTGAAGGAGCCAGTGCCGAATGAGTGGAAAATTAATTTATTGAAATATCCCTGGCTGACTGTCCTCACTGATTGGGAGGGGCCAGAGGCTTGAAAACTGAGGAATATGACCCCAAAATACTGGTACACGTGTACAGGGTATGTACATGTACATAGGGGCAGAACGATTTTCAAAGTGGGAGAGGACAGTTGTGAGACCATCAGGCATCAGCCAGCATAGGCTGATCCATCAAGCCCTATCCGTTTATAGGACCTGCAAAAAGTATGTGTGGGGGGGAGGGACAGCTCCTCCCCAGTCAAAAACGTGTGTGGGCGGGGGGCACTAGCTGGCATGGTACCATACTACATTGTACATGTACCGGTATACTGCTGCTCTTGCATGCCACATGTGGCATGTTCTTCATAAAATGGACCAAAATGCAACTCCGGATTTCATTTTTCAAAACTTCTAAAAAAGTGACTTTGATCTTGTAAAATACAAATTAGCACCTTCAGATAATGAAAATGTTTATATGGGGATAATTAGGCATAATATGTACTTATGGTGGACATTTGGTCGGCTTCCAGTGCAGATCAAATGGAGTTGAATTCATTTAAAGTTTTACGTCAAAGTGTTTACACCAGAGGTTTTGATTTCAAAACTTCTCTCAACAAGAAGGAGAATTCAGTATATTTTTCGACTGATTTTAAAGCACCTAAGAAATACATGTTACATGTATAAAAAAAAAGGCCAATGAGTCATACAGATTACTGGTAAATCAGAATTCTTGAACATCGGTATTCATGGATTTCCATTGTTTTGTTTGTCAGGATTTACGTATTTGCATATTCCGGGAACATTGCCAAAGAGGATGTTGAGGGGGAAAGGAAAGAACAATAAAGAAATCACATTTACACATTTGCATGTAAAATTACGGCAGGTGTATGCAGTATTTACTTGTTCTGTAACCAAAAATTTGTGCATGCAGTATACTCTGTACATGCATGTAAAGAAAATATGTAATTCTGTTAATTATATAAAAAGTGGCAAAAATACCTCAGAACTAAGAATTTTGCGGAGAGTTACACGTAAGTAAAACGTGCGTACATGACCTGCATTATTGTACATGTACATGTGCATTATGTGTATTGGTTTTTTTATTAACACATTAACATGTTAAAGAACAACATTTACATGTACATGTACCGTAGCAGACAAGAGGAACTGCCAAAGCAAACCAAAGCAATAGAAAACAATGTTTTGTAATGAAAGCTTTACATGCATTGTGAATTTAAATTGATAATTGAGTACCTGTACACTACCAAAATCATTAATTCAAAAACAACCAAAGTTAGGGGCTTATTCTAGAAGCAGCCTTACCCCAGTGTACTAAAATATGCCCTCTGTTTCTTTCAATGCTAACTTCTGCCCTTGTTTTCATCGCTTTTATGCATTTTGGAGATTCTAACAAACATTACATACATGTACTTGGTACAGGTAATTCTGACAAAAAAGCCGTCTTTGGACAACTTGAATTTAACTGCAAAACAGCTGTTTGGTTCAGAGCCATTTCTTATTAAACCACTTCATGCTCAGTCATCTGAATTTGGATTTCTTGATGTCATATGAAAGAGGACATCATAATATATGTAAAATAGATGATGGTTACCATTACCAAAGTAATAAGTCACATTCAAGAAACAAATTGATCTCGGTGTCCTTTTTGAGACACCCTGTGGAGCTACCGATACAAATTTGTATTATATGTACAGTGTAGGCATACTAGAGATGTTTAGTAATTCTGCTGACATCATGGCTTTAAGCATGATTACTGGCAAGAACTATAAAATAAAAATACCATTACCTTATGGTACATGTATATGTACATGTACATGTATGGTTTTTATCGTGACCAGTGACATTTTTGTACCTGAAGGGTGCACTGAACCAACTCAAACTCCATTGAAAATAGTGTAAAATCAACCAAGTTTGGAGCCCCATGGCAGGCAACTGAAGTCCCTGTTTTTCAATTTTTAGTAGGTTAACCAATGAATTTTTTAATTATCCACCAAAAACAAACTCACCCCCCCCTAAAACGTCATTGTTCCCAAGTCTTCTCAGCAGCCATTTTTCAAATGACATCTCTCACCTTCCTGGGGCTCTTCTGACAAATTTTCAATCACATTTTTGTCTGCTTTGCCCCCAGATGGGTGCCCCTGAATCTACAGAGATGATCGGGCCATGCTGGCACAATCTCACCATTTTTTGGCCCAAACAGACCCCTCTTTTCGAAAGTATCTGTGGGGGTACTTCTTGTGCGCCTCCGTCTAGCGGAGAATTTTCTTTGAATTGGGGCACTGCACCCTGAACCGGTAGCACAAAAAGACTGACAAATCAGGAAACCACCAGCATGCAGTGCAATGTACAGTACCTGTACCTGAAGAGCATGCATGTTGTAATTTCATAGACCAGCACTAATGTATACACATTAGTGGTCCCATACTCTACTGCACCGGTACATGGTTGGTACTCTCCACGAGGGGGTTTAATACAGCAGGCTGCCCTGCCCAAATTTTATGTCATCCCACTAAGGTTTTGCTGCCCTGCTAAACTTTTCAGCACCCTGCTATTTTTTTCACTGAATTTCTCCCATTCTTCAAGGTCTTCAGAGTTTATCAAAGTACAATGTTAGTACAAAAGAAGTTTATTGGACTCTGTTGAATGAACATGAAGAGTTTGCCAGCATTAATATTTAGCGGTATTGCAGCAACATAAGCGAACATACATAAGGTACAATATCTTTTGGATGCAATGTATGCAACGTACCGTATTATGCCTTCCCATAAGACATACACGTAATGTGGAATGTACGTACTGTACACATAAAATTCTGGACTGGCTCCATTTTTGCTGGTAATATCATTTTCACTTCATCCTGTTGAGAACTACACGTAGCTTAACCTACCGGTACGTACCTGTACATGTAAATTACAATGTACAGTACTTGTAATATTTGAAAGTGTTGTTTTTTTTCTCAGATGATGGATAGCGACAAGAAGGTCTGGTAGACCAAAAAGGGATTTCTACATATCATTGAGGGAATCAAGAATTTATTTGTCTAAAATCAAATGTACACTAGTCAATGAACATTAAAAAAGTCTAAGCAATAACCCAATTCTGTCTGATTTACAGTCAAACTGATCATTTGTTTATTCAGACGAATAAACCCCTGAATCCCCAGCTCAGTGACATGTTCCGCTCAGTAAAACAATTGCTCTAAAAATTCCACTTTGGATGATCAAACCCCTTTCTCCCCAATAATCTTGCTGTCATTTCAAGCTGTAAACACAAACAGATTTGATTCCAAGAGTCAAAAGAGAGTGCCTAGGAAATGCCTCAGATTGCAACACGAATCCAGGCCAGACCCCATAAGGGCTTTGTGCTCGCATTGTGTCTGCCGTCCTCCAAAAATTGAAGTGTGGTGGAGAACACTGCATGCTTTGAATCTCATTTTATTTCAGTGTTACAGTATGTTAACCCAGCGTTTACTGCCTCATTTCAGAAGGGGGAAGCAGTTTCATGACTACACGCAAGCTGACCCCTCTCTGGGGCAAGTGCTTCGACTCACATCTCTATGAGGGCCGCATCATCCACATCATCATCCAGAATAACAACAAAATGGTGGCAGAGGCTGAACTCAAAGTCATGGACATGGCCGCTATGTGCGGCACCAACGGCGATGTGCTTACCACCAACGTAAGTCATGCTGCATACATGCGACATTGTAACTTCAGTTGAGATTAACACATTGGTTGCCAGCTGTACAGAACAAGTACATGTACGTGTAAAGGGCACCCTCTTTCGTGTCTTTGCAAAGTTAGCATTTCATTCACACATATGTTCACTTAGTCATTTTTAATCCCTTGGAGGCTAAGAGGCATTCATTTCTAAGTGTTTTTAATAAATACAATGCTGTTGAGATGAAGCCTGCAGTACAGATTTAACCATTCCATTACATGTATCCAATCCTAGCCTGAGTTTTACATGCAGTGCATTTTTCTAATCCTTCCCCTCATCTCTCCATTTGTTTCATTGGTCCTTGCCCTTGTGGCCGAGCTCTGCGCAGTGCATCAATCAAGTCTACCTGTCCATTTGATGCACCATTCAACCTCCTCCAGTTTCAAACCCCATCTTCCCCTTCTCATCAATCTCTCTTCACCGTCTATCTGCTGTGGCCTTTCTCCATCTCAATAACTTGTTCCATCCCCTTGCCCCCCCTCCTTTTCCCTAGGTGCATTAGTTCTCTTTGTTTCCTCCTTGCCAATTCTCTTTCTCCGTTGTTGGTGCTCGTTGTTTCAACATCCCATTCTCAAGTTTGCGTCAGATTAGATTTCTATGATTGAACATACACGTGTATGTACACACTGTATAAACAGGATTAACCTGTCGGTACCGTTGTCTCAAGTACCGTACATGTACATGCACAGTGTACAATGTACACTATAGTCGGAATACAAATCCTGCTTTGCTGATAATCAAGGAAAGTTTTGCATTTTATGTTCTTGTGTGCACCAGGAAGGGGAGGACATACGACACACGAATATGTCAAAGGGCATTGAACATGTTGAAAAGGCATTGAAAGATGAGGGAGGCTGTGTTCCCCTCTCTGGGTCAACAGTTTACAAAATGTCATGCCTGTATAAAATGTAGGCTTTGTCAGTGCATGTGTCTTGTAAATGTACTGGTAACTAACCAAGATCACATCCAGTTGCAGCTCACAAATCAAGTGTGACTACATGTACATGTACATTTACTCATTGTACCAGTGTGAGGAACTCATCTGTACACATTAATGTTATGACACTACATTTATATAACCAGGGAACAATTGCCTTTTTGTACAGTACAAAAGAATGTAATCAATGGGAACTCAGAATTTTCACCCACATGCCAGTGTTCATCCTGAACAATGAAGCTTAATTGTTCTTTCTTATGCAAACAATGTGTTAAATCAAACCAAAAATGGCCTGAATGAATTCCAGGAGTTGCGATGCATTTTATGTGATACATGTACAATGTACACATGTACATGTCATGTTCATTTCAGAAACATCCATAGGCATGCAGGTGCTTTTCTGTGAAGGACCAATGAAATGGCAATATCCAATGTACGTAGATGTACAAAAGTGTATATTCTTGTACATGTACATATACACTCATGCCAAAAATGAATGGTAACCACATCATTCATGAATCCTTGGACAGTGTTGACCATAACCCCAACTTAAAAAATGCTGTTGTACAGTACATGTACATGTACACTATTAGGCCAGTTTCCTTGCACGTACGGTACCATAAAGTTGTCAGTGTATACACACTCTACATGTACATGAACTGCAGATTTAACAATACTCTCAACCTGGACAACAAAAGATGATAATGCCAAAATCCTCTTGCTTAGAGGATAAGTATGTAATATTTTTAGACAAAATGAATGATCAGAATCATGAAGTTTAATGCTTTTGCTTTTGGGCACTTTGCTAAAAGAAGAAAGCACTGTCGTCTTGAAATATCAGTGAAAAGCCATAGCACGTACCGGGTACATGTAAATGTTCTCTGGAAACTCTCAAGGAAGATGAGATTTGGAGTGATTCAAGATAGTATCTTTGGCTTTTCCCAAATGTCGAGGGCATTGGGGAAACTCACAGACCAATATCGCTTGTGGGTGGGCGCAGATTTTGCACATGCATATACATGTAGGCACGAACATATGCATACCCTGTGTGTGTAGGTTCTCGGCCTGTCAGATTTCATCTGTCATGTCTGTCACCCATTGATTGCATCTGCTGCCCTGGGTGTGCAGGGTTGTTTTTCCTGACTATGTCACCTACCGTAGCATACAGGTGCCGGTGTGCTTCATTTGTCTTCCTGCTTCTGGTTTTTTTTTTCCCTATGCACATTTTTTATTGTTCCAAGTCTTCCCAATGCCACACAGTACTTCAGTGTTTAGTCTGGCCTCGTGCATGTTCTAACATGTCAAATGAGACAAATTGGTACACTCACTGCTGTGCATTCATTGCGACTCCTTAATTTTGGTGAAAGCTTGAATATGGTACATGTACATAATTGAACATACACAAAAGCAGCTGCACACATATACCGGTACATAAAGATACATGTACTGTACATGGTCATTTACAAGTTGGGGCAACAGAATGTGATAATAAATGTCATCTAGCACCTGTCAAATGTTTCTTAACCGGGTTTGTTTAACCCAATGAGCAAAGGAATGTTGAAACAGGCAACATGCGTGCATACAAGTACTGATAGACTTGGTTTAATATTCATTATCTTGCTTTTCCCATTTTACCTCTAGTTGACTCTGAGGCCAACAGGCACACTCCATGCGCAGCTCAAGTGCTTCTCAGAATCAAAAGGTATTTACCGTCACTATCATCATGTGTGTACTGTACAATACAGTCTCTATGTTCATCTTTAATTGGATTGTCTAGAAAAGTACCAAATCGGTTGGAAGTGGGCCAGATTTATGTAGTTCTGCAAATTTATCCATAAGTGGGAAGTAAAAGTAGGAATTTTAAACCAACTGTCAAGGTATTCTCTCTGTAATACCCCCCTCAAAAACCTAACAATCACATTCATGAAAGAATGAGATGAAAGAACTTTTTGAATTTTGAATGGGTGAGAAAAGAACATTGTACATGTACATGTAGTACATAGCCAAACAATGTGTGCATGAGTTTGTTTCTGCATTCAATTGGGGACCTTGAACAATAGAGGACAATAAGGTCCCCGGTTGACAGAGGGTCCCTGATTGACAACTGTGTACAAAACATATGGGTGGTCTTGTAAAAAAGTTAAAGTACAAACAAAAGAGGAACAATAGGGGGTCCCCAGTTGCAGGCAAATACACACTTGTGTGTGTGTTTCAATCATAATAGGACGAAATTGTTTAAAATCAACCCCTAGCTCTGCAGCTCCCCCCCCCCCAAAAAAAATCCTTTTAAGTTCGGTGATACTAACCATGACCCTAATATAGCACTTCAGAAGTTTGATTTACGCCTGGCTTCCACCCTCAGGTTTTTTGTAAAGTTGTTTAAATAGAGTTTGTAATATTTTTAGACATTATTACCTCTGCTTCAAAAAAGTACATGAATGAACCTGTGTTCACGATTTGTCATACACTGTAGATACATGTACATGTATAATGGTCTGTTAGGGGGAAAAAATCAGCCACTCTGACGATATGTGAGCGAGAATTAAAAAAAAGTGGTCTTCTGATGAGGAAGTCCATGTAATGCGATCCTGTTATCCTGAGACTATTGAGAAGACAGGTGTTGTCCCGCTGAGCTGCGAGCTAAGTGTTTACATTAACAAACAGCAAGAGTGCATTGAAGTGCGCCGGGGGATTCTTTTGCCAGCCCTCCTTTCATATCATTTGTCCGCAGATGGGACTCAAAATCAATATTTTGACAGTTTTTTTTTCCCATCGTCTCATGATGAGCATGAGCGACTGAATGGTCCTTTTTTTTTTACAGTGTGGGTGGGCAGGTGTGCCAGACTTTGCCGTTGCTGAGACAGACATGCGTGAAAAAAAAAAGAGTTGTCAGTGTTAGGGCCAATTTCCTGACGCTGTTGAGGAAAGAAATTTGCTTTCCAATTTGCTTGGCAGAAAAAGAGCTGTACCTGTACATGTATGTGCACACGTACAGGCTGTACATGTACCATACTGTACTCCTTTCTGAGCACAGTGCTCGACAGCATTGGTGTGGCAATTAATGTAGTGGTATAAGGGGACAAGAGGATTATGTACCAGTGCATGTAATTAGTCATGTTAGTGTAGAAACTGTTGATATTGTTACCCTTATTTTTTCTCCAATCCCATGGCACACTTTGGTATCTCTTTTGTGGGGATGCACATGTTCATATACATTTACTACATGTAGTACATGTACATGTAGCCCCGATTTCATGCGGTGTATACTATTGGGTCTCTGCTTACATTACGCATAAATCAGTTCTCGTAATCCCTGTACTGTGTCGGAATCACAAATCCAGATGACCCCAACCAAGTGAGCATGATCAAGCCGAGCCAGGCCCTCGAAGTAGATGACAATGACAAGACTGGTTCTGGTGCCCTCACAAGGCGGCGTGGTGCCATGCGGCAGGCAAAAGTCCACGAGCACATGGGCCATAAGTTCATTGCCCACTACTTCCGCACCCCAACCTACTGCTCCTTCTGCAATGAGTTCATCTGGTGAGTGAAGGCGTGGAAATTAGTATTGTATAGAAGCATATGTTGAAGTTAAACTCAGAGAAGATGGAACTGCATTTATGAACTTTATTAAGGAATGATGTGCAGTGTCATCTTAAAAAGGGCTTGCCATTGACTAAAGCACAAAGACTTCATGTGTGTATCAAATGACACAACTACATGTACACGTAAAGTACATTTCAGCTCGTCAAAGACTTTCCATCTTAACACATCACCAACATTAAATATTGAGTACATTCTTATGAGCACATTCTTGTTACTTTCACATTCACAGGGGTGTGATGGGAAAACAGGGCTACAAATGCAAAGGTAAGAAACTGTCAAAGTCACTGTATGAGACCTAAAATGTACATAATCAATTTTTTAGTGTTAAGGCACTTGTTTGTTTCATGCTGACAACCTTTCAGCATGTTTCATGCTGAGGAAAGTAGCAAAGTTTAATACAGAGTGATCAAATGAGGAAAAGACTGGCTCATAAATTTCTGATTTACCCTCAGGATTATACATGTACACTTGAAATGTATATGTACATGTACATGTACCTGTGCAGTATGTCAATTGTGGCCAGCCTCATAAAAGCAGGCTGTGATATACATGTGTAGTACATACATGGTACACATGTACGGTTGGATCCCAGTAAGCTGTACCTGAAAGAGAATGCATGCACATGTAATATTGATCATACACTTGATTAACCATAAAAGATTTTAAGACAAAACTGGGGAGGAGAATTAGAAGCTGGTACTGTGATGGCACTGTGCCCACACATTAGGCAAACATATAGTGGTATGTTTTAAATACCTGTTCGACTGGTCGGGTTGCTGAATTACACCAGCACCTCGTGTTTATGCATGTGACATGTGTTGGTACCTTTTCTATGGTAAAGATGACTTCAAAATCCTTCACCTGGCATGCCAGGACCAGCATTTATTGATGATGATTTATTGATGGTGGATGCTAAACACTTCATTAATACATTTAGTTTTTTCACTATTGTATGTGGAGGTACAGTTGGAGAAGCGTAAATGAATACATGTAGGAACTCCCACAGAATCAAAATGAAATGGTATATCTTATAGTATCGTATGAATACTTGTAGTTAAATGCTTTTGTGTGAATAGTTAACATGTAAATGCCTTCCTGTTCTGTTCAGTGAGACTAAAATTTCAGAATTTGATTATTGCATGTTAACCTTCATCTATTTGTGGGAGTGGTACAACCAAAATTGGACGTAGTTATGATGAGATAGGAACGATAGCCATTCTGTTTTTTACATTCTTTGTTTCTGATAGAATGTCAGTTGGCTGTGCATAAACGCTGCTACAACCAAGTGTTGAGTAAGTGTCCCGGTGCAGGCATCGAAACAATGGATACAAAGGTGAGGTTTTTCAGGTTTTTGAAAGGGGGTGGGGCGGGAGCATCTTTATGGGGGGGGTGTGAGTGCTGTTCCCCTGTTCCAACTATGCAAAGAATGCTTTCTTTGTGATAAATACAGTACTTATCATCGCCAGTCGCATCAGAACTTGCAACTGTGAAGCCTGGTACAAAAATTAAAAATTTCAAACTGAATTTTTCCAAGATGGTTAAGAGTCCAGAGAAGTGCAAACGGACTATGAATTATGTTTCAAATGGGTTCAAAAAGTACATTTGTCCTTAATTAGCTACTTCTTTATTCTAAAACTACATGTACATGTACGTTCATCAAACCTAGGTGGGTGTGGTGCATTGTCTGCCTAGGGCACAGCTTATCTTTGCAGACAGAACTATATGAATTAATGCTCAACTGATAACCATGATTACGGAGGAAGGTCAAGTTACACTGTTCTGTTTAAACAGACATGCAGAATTTCTTTAAGCTACATACACCCAGTACAAGTACATGCACATTTATGTGTACAGTACTTCTCTTGTTGGGTGACAGAATCACTATACGCTACTTACTACATGTACATTAAGTTTCACACATTTCACTTTTTGGGTTTCTTGTTTTTCTTTTTATTTCTGCTTTTTAAGCTGCTAAGCAAAAACATTGGAGAACCACTCACCATACAGCATACTCAGTCAGTGTGCCATTTTAGCTGGTAACGTGTTTCTGGTGTTAAACATGCAATCATCTTCTTCCATTGCTCAGTTTTGCTCTTCGCCACTCCTTGAAAGGGTTTCAGTGGAAAATTTTAATTTGTTTCTTCTAATTGACATTTAATCCTCTATCAAAAATTTTTGGAAGGCGGGTTGTACCAGTTCCCATCTACCGGTCATTCCTAGTGAAGGATTCTACCTGTATATTTATGTGTTTACGTAATTGGCCTTTGAAACAGTACATATAACATTAAAATGCTGCCCTAAAGTGGTGATTTTAATTACCTACCAACATTAAAAGGGGCTCTGCTCAGATCCCTTGATTCTCAGCTCAAGAGTTTTTGCAAGGGAATAGAATTTCTGTGTGGTGACTTTAATTACTTACCAACATTAAAAGGGGCTCTGCTCAGATCCCTTGATTCTCAGCTCAAGCGTTTTTGCAAGGGAATAGAATTTCTGTTCAGTGTTTTAATGGTTTTGTACAGGTAGGCACCTGTGCTTACTCGAAAACTTTCCCTATTTGTTTTTCTTTTCTGCAGACTTTGAAGAAGCGTTTCAATCTTAACTTGCCCCATCGCTTCAAGGTATTCACCTACATGAGTCCTACATTCTGCGATCACTGTGGCACAATGCTGTATGGTCTTTTCAGGCAAGGGGTCAGATGTGAAGGTACATGTACTTGTATGACTTGTATGTATGGGTGTGGTCTTTGGAGAGAAAAAAAAGTTTTGGGTGACTGATTTTTTTTCTTTTGGCTAGTGATAGTAATTTCTAAGAGGAACAAGCAACTACATGTACAGGTGCCTGTAAGCATCTTGAGTGGTCCTCCTGTGTGGTTTTTGTCATCTTGTTTTGTTAGTTTTGAAGGAGGTAGATGCATAGAACATTTTGCTCTCTTAATGCAGGTACAAATTCGTTGAAAATATTAGCACGGCTTGTGAACAAGAAAAATGTTAGTGCTGAATGGCTGAGCAGGTGTAATATCATATATAAGAGTGAGAAGGGTACACATATACATGTGGCCAACTGAATACATGCCTTTGCAAAGGGGTTTTTTTAGGAGGAAATTTCAGTGTTTTCTACCCTTTTTTTCTCTGTCACAACTATAAATCACCATACATGTATATGCAGCAAAGTTTGTGGCAGCCAGAAAGCTCTAATTTTATCCCACTTGCTTGTTGGTGGTTTGGAATGCAGGCTACTGGTAACACCAGCTGGCATATAAACACAACCCTGGATGTTGGGTGCTGTTAACAAGGTCTTTCGCCCACACTGCTTGCTCAATTTGTTGTCATTGCACATGGTACCCTGGTTGTAACTGTGTTTAAATAAAATCTACATGGTACACAGGTGTACAGTGTACATGTAGATTGATTAAGTAGCTTTGCTTCAAAAGCCTGTGCAGAGGTGTAGTTGTTTATCCAACATGGGAAAATGCAGAGTGAGTGCAACTCTTCTTTTGCCAGGAAAACAATGAAAGCTGGTTCAGCATAGGAGAGAAAATTGAACAAATTTGCCTGCATTGCAGTGATTTTTAAATGTTGATAGACAGCAGCCGTCAGTCAGTGTATTGTACATGGCACTGTAGTTATTATATTACGTAAATAAAATTAGCTATTACTTTGTCTTTTTAGTATCAGTTCTTTTATCAAATTTGTCTTCATATGCAGATTTGACTTAGTAGCTGCAATTTAGCCCACAGGTACCGATACAGTTGTTTATACAACTTGCATGACATGGTTGTTCATTAAACTCAGAAAACTGGAAAGTAAGCACAGCTTTCCTGAAATTTAACTTACTGTTACCATGTCCAGGAAAACTACTCAAACTACATGTAGTTCAGAATGGGAGAACAATTGAAGGTGTTCCATTTCTTGGTTTCAGACTGCAACGTGAACATCCACCACAAGTGCAAGAAGAATGTGCCCAATCTGTGTGGCATCAATCAGAAATTGATGGCCGCTGCCATACATGAGGTGGAGGTAAGCAAGACCAGTGCATCAGGGTGAAATGCAGCTCAAGCGTGGCCAGCCATCTCTGTGATTTCACGGTGGGCCTTTAGTACTGAAGCATGCTGCTGTGTAGACTCTGGTGTAGGAATGAAAAACTCTGGTGTGTGGGACACAGAATGGTTTGTGCACACGCATATTTTTCGTTCCACATCTAGATGTGCACGAAACCTGTGTTGGCTATGTAATTATGCAATATGATGTTTAGCTGTACATCTCACTGTCACTTATAATATCAACTGTCACCATTGCGGACACCTTTTTCTCCAAAATCTGGAGCAAAAATTCGTGACAAACCAAAATGATATGCATAAAATACCACCAGACTGACTAGAGTGGTCATGAGACTGCAATTTCAGGAGAGGTACTACTGAACTACTGCCATACCCCCATGGTTTACTTCATTTGACACACTGCTTGACACCATGGAAACAAGGAT